TATATATATATATATAGAGAGATATATATATGTGATAGATATATATATATATACACATATATATATATATATAGAGACACATGCGTATAGAGATGAGATATAGATATATATATATAGATATATATATATATATATATATATATATATATATATATATATATATATATATATATATATATATATTATTTAAGTTGGTACTTAAATCAAACAGAATGGACTTTGGCTTTTTACCGAATTCTATCATATTATATATCAATTATCGAAAATAGTATTCCCCGTGCATCGCACGGGTGAAATACTAGTTGTATATTAAATTTCCTTTATCTTTAGAAATGCCTAGGTCTGGTCCGGTCTACATTAAAAAATAAATTTTTATTTTACATTTTAAATTTAACTTTCTATTATAATTAACTAGCAATTCTTCCCGTGCGATGCACGGGTAGCACTGTAAGAAGCCAAAAAAATTAAATATATTATAATTAAATGGTATAAAAAAATATATTACATAATATTACAATAATTTTGACATACTGAATTGTTGCTAGAAGTAAATTTACTAGTTATTAGTTTTACATTTATCGACGTGGATTTTCTTATTTTTTTAAACTATGAAATTTTCAGAAAATTTCAACTAAGTGTTGGAATTTTTAAACTCATGTGATTTCCGAAATTCCGAAATTTACAGGCCTTTTGGAATTTGAATGAATTATTAGATTCCGAAAATTTTGGAAATTTAATTGTAATTGATTTTGTACCTGCAAAAAAATTTGGAATTATTTTTCTGAAAATACTAATTCCGACCCAATTCATCCGAGTTGCACCCCTATGCGCAAATCATTATTAATTATCAAGTTGATTCCAAAATGGGATAATTACATGTTTCGTCCCTATACTTTGCCAATTACACGATTTTTGTCCTTAAACAAAATGAAGTTATGATTTCCGTCTCCTAAACATGTAATTTTTATGTTGTTTCTATCTCTCTTTCCATTTGTCCAGCTAGTATGGACAGAAAATAGCAACTGCGCCTCACATGACACACAAATGGCACCCCCCCGGGATGACAATTTCACCCGCCCTGATGGATCCCTGGCCCGAAATTTCTGAGTACTATTGTCCGCCCCGAAAAAAATGGGACGGGTATGGGAATATAATTTGTTTTTTTTACAACTTATGGGCTTGGGGACGGGTTTGCCTGTACCCGCCATGCGTTATTTATATATAACATATGTTTATTAATTATTATGTTAAATATAAATAATTAAATATTAGTAATATATTAAATATTGGTAATATAATTAAATATTGGTTTGTTCGTTGAAATAAGTATTTAAATTATAAGTAGGTTGCACATTTATTTATTAGAAAAGAAAAAAAAACATATAGGGATTTTTCGGGGTGGGTACCCGTGAGGATTTTATGGAGTGGGTTTGAGATTCTATTTCATAAAGTTTGGGGATTTTGAGGAATGAGGATGGGAATTTCTATAGCAGGGCGGGGTGGGGATTGCAATACTCGCCCCATTGGCACCCCCCTCCCCATCCCCCCAAACGTAATAATTTCATAAATATCCAAATTCTTTGCAAAACCCTAAGCCCTAATTTTTGAAATCTCAATTCCTTATGAATTTACCATTAAAATCTCCTCAATAAATCTTGAAAGAAAAATTAGAAAGTGGGCATTTCAAATTTTGAAGCTTCTTCAACCAAGGTAGCTAATTTCAGCATTTGTGGTCGCAGATTCAAACTAAATTTCATTCTCTCTTTAAGTAAAGTGTTTAATTTAGAATTAAAAAAAAAATTTGTTGTTTTATTTTGGGGAATGAAGCCTGAAGGATGAGTTAAAACAGTGGTTGTAGCTACAATTAAGATTTGTGAAGTGTTTTATTGTAAATGTGGAGATGAGATGTCGACATTGTTGACCTCATAGACTCCTAGTACTTCCAGAAGAAGATTTCGTGCTTATCCAAACTATGAAGTAAGTTATATATATATATATATATATATATATATATATATATATATATATATATATATATATATATATATATATATATATATATATATATATATATATATATTATTTAAGTTGGTACTTAAATCAAACAGAATGGACTTTGGCTTTTTACCGAATTCTATCATATTATATATCAATTATCGAAAATAGTATTCCCCGTGCATCGCACGGGTGAAATACTAGTTGTATATTAAATTTCCTTTATCTTTAGAAATGCCTAGGTCTGGTCCGGTCTACATTAAAAAATAAATTTTTATTTTACATTTTAAATTTAACTTTCTATTATAATTAACTAGCAATTCTTCCCGTGCGATGCACGGGTAGCACTGTAAGAAGCCAAAAAAATTAAATATATTATAATTAAATGGTATAAAAAAATATATTACATAATATTACAATAATTTTGACATACTGAATTGTTGCTAGAAGTAAATTTACTAGTTATTAGTTTTACATTTATCGACGTGGATTTTCTTATTTTTTTAAACTATGAAATTTTCAGAAAATTTCAACTAAGTGTTGGAATTTTTAAACTCATGTGATTTCCGAAATTCCGAAATTTACAGGCCTTTTGGAATTTGAATGATTATTAGATTCCGAAATTTTTGC